CCCCAAAACCCCAAAACCCCAAAACCCCAAAACCCCAAAAAATTGGTTTCCAATTGAATTCTTCACATTTTATATATCCCAGTCTGCATCAGGAAGAATCAAAGGACCGATGAGAGACCATAAGAAGATCAAATAGCAGCAGAATTTGCTGAAGAGCTTCATCCATAAACTGAATTTGGTGGATGTGAAATATTCATCTTTTTCTGGATCTGGGTGAGCGGTTAGAGACTATATGGGAATTACTCAAAAAGTTAAAGAAATTCAGATTTTCTGGAAAATTTGTACTTACTCCAAGATCATTCCAGTTTGACAGCAGCATTGCATAATAGCAGCTTGCTCACATCATCATGACATGAAAATAGATCGTTTCATAAGAGAGAGGAAAGATGTAAGAATCCTCTACGTCAACCTTCTTTCCACCTACATCTACTTCATCTAATGGTTGTTCTTCATCACTGAGACTTGAGCTAGACCCTCCATCTTGAATGATCAAGGGAAATATTAAGATTGAAATTACGGTGAATGCTACTCCCAAGATCACTTGAACAATATTAGCATTTTGAGAATGCATCAATGTATTTCACTTCTCATCTGGATCGGATGCCAAAGCTGCCCAAGTAAGGTAGAGTATATATGAGAGTACAATCCCGTTTGTTAGAATAGATGCATTTTCTCTTGTCCTCAATGCTGTCAGAGTAGTAAATATAATCGCAACTGCAATGAAAAGGACCAGCAAGAATACATTAAAGAAGCATCCTCCGAACCATTTGTAAAGAAGCCATAGAAGGATGAAATCGAATAAGTAGATTCCTGCTGTAAATGAGATCAGTAAGATCAGCGAAGTGGTACTTCCAGATTCATTATAAAATTCTACAAGAAACTCGTTAAATTTGTAAGCCAGTGAGAGAATACAGATACCTTGGAATATGAGGAAAATCATACTCACAAATCGACTGATATAGGCGTAAACTATGATAATGTCAGTAGTTATCCAGAAACTAGCAATAAAAAGGACAGCAATAGCAATGAAATGGAAGCTCCAGCATCCATCATTTAGAACAGAGCCAGCTTCTGTGTCAAAAGTCTTAGATATTGCTAAAATTATTGCTAGACTAAGATGGAACAATGCTAAGACCATACTCATTCTGAAAACTGCACTAATACCCATACAGACAGATCCTTTTTCTGGTCATTGAAGGATGAAAGAGTACTCATCAAAAATATCTTTGGCATAAAACAACAACATGAAAGAGAAGCCTAGACATAGGAGGCTGAGCATGAGATATCCTATCTTGGAGAAATGCTTCTTACTTGCTCCTCAGCCTGAGCAGCATCCTCACATCATGCTTCAGCATGCTTGCCCTGCACAACAAGCTGCTTGACCTGCACAACATAATAACATTTTGATTTTTTAAGTGCAAATTTATAATATTTCCATGTTGAAATTACCTTAAGGGGTTTTGGGGTTTTGGGGTTTTGGGG